GAAATTAGAAATTTTAATGTATCTTTGAAAAGAAACCAAAGATTAAGATAGGATTTCCTTGGAGGTTCTCAGTCAGTGGCTCCAGGTTACCAACTGGGGAGATATATAAAGAGGGCTCTGATGATAATTTTTAGGGTCAGCTACCAGGATTATCCCAATTATACTGTGCTTACATATTTAATGTTTTAATTATGATTGAACACATTCATTATGGCTGTTAAAATAGGTTTCATTTCACTAGTCCACAGAATATGGTATGGAGGACTAAGTTTCTATAATCTCTATTGGATAATCGATAAAAACAACAAGTTAATGCTTGAAGTACTTTTGGCTGCAAAATTAAGAATGGGTATTTCTCTTTTCAGGTAAATTACCATAATAAATGGCAGTCTGTGGCAAATAAAAAGTGTCTTTTTGGAAGGAAAAAAATTAAATTTTAAGTAGGAACATTCTTTTGATACTTGTATCCAAAGTCTTTGCCTATTAAATGTGCTGAGCTGTTAGATTAAAAATGCTGGTATACTACTAATTTTGACGTAGGCTAGGCTTGGAGCCATGGTTTTGTGTAACTTGAATTGGAAATCCTTTATTTAATTTTGGCTTGAGCCTTTAATTAAACCATAATTTAACTTCCCCACTGCTATAGCAGCAGCAGCTCCTTTTGCTCTTTTTGTTGGAATATGCATGGTTGTACTTTCCAGTACAAAATAAATACAGAAATAATCCAGCTGCCTCAGATACGTGTTCTTTAGTCAGATATGTCTTATACATCACTTGGAAATATTGTGATGGTTTAATCATATACTGCCTTTAACACTGAGACTATATTGTGTTCTCAGGTTGTATTAATGGGTTTTGTGTCAATAGAAAGATTTACCCAGTTAAAAGGAGCAGAGAAAAAGTCTTTCATGACTATGAGGTTACCTTTTTAGAAGTCACTCATATTTGCAGTAGAATCAGGGGCATGGGAGTGTTCTCATGATGATTCACATGAGCATTTTAATTGAGTAAACAAGGCTATATTTTAGCTTCTCTGCCTCTTTTTTTATTTAAAACTTAATTTCTTAGATGAATTGGACACATGGATTCCTTAATTCACTCCTTCCCCTCAAGAGCACATTTTGGTAAATGATACCGTTTTATTGTTCTGAAGTGGGAGTTAATAAAAATACTAGAGTTGAGGTTTCATTATTGTGAGAGCAAATGGCTTTGAACCAACTATACTTGAAATTAAACTGAAGTATCTTTCTTGGCAGATATGCCTCTGTGTTTAGCTGAAATATGAAATTTTATATATATATATATATATACACACACACACACACACACACACATATATATATATATATATATATATATATATATATATATATATATATATATATATTTGCCTGATTGCCTAATGGATTGTTTTATTTCTCTGTAGATTATACTATGCAACTTCAGGTTATCTTATTCAGTAGTCTAGGAGTATATTTTGCAATCCATTCCTTTGGATAGTTTGAAAAATTATATTACTTAAATGCTTAACGATGCTTTTTTGAGTTTATTTCTTTTTTTAATGGCTGGTAATATCCAGTATAAAAATATTCAGAGATAAAAATGTAGCCATTTTCTACCTGTGCGTTTCAGTGTCATCATGCTTTGAATTTAGAACCAAATCAGAGATGGCATACAGGAGCTCATCAGATAAAACTGTCAACATCAGTAAATAAAGTAGATTGCAGAATGAAATTTAGACCTGATGCCAAATGGGCCTCTTCATTTGTATTCAGGCCCCAGGTTACTCAAACCCAGTTACAGGCAATGCCAGAAACCTTAGACTTCTTCCACAGAAGCAGGCCACCTGCAAAACATGGGCTTGCATAGAATATACAGTAATGTCCTGAGAGTAAACTGTTCTGAAAGAGCAGCAGAGATGTGCTTTCCCCTTACCCCCACTTTTTCTTAGCACAAATTACTCTCTTTCCCTTAAAGAGGAATGAGTTACGTAGGGAGTAGTCACTAGCATAGTGGTTTTCAAGGAGTTTGTGATCCACAGTAATAAATACATTTTAGTTATGACATGGCACACATACACGTGGAACAAGTTTCATGAAACATTGCTTATACCACATTAGTGTACTTAATATTTTCTACTTTATTAAAATAAATGCTAGTCACTACCTTTTAAACTGATTTTATATAACATGAATGGGATGGGTATAGTTAGACAAACTAAACTGGCTCCCACAGAGATGTATTCCCACCTGAAAACATGAGCCAGGGATTTAACCGATCCTTTTGTTTGCTTATAAGATGATATCATTTCTATCCACAGCCTAGCTACCTGAACATTAGAGGATGTTGTGCTATGCTTAACTTGAGATATACAATTACTTATACAAATGCAAAAGTGCACAAAATTCAGGCACGGGGCAGGGAGGGGATCCCTCTGTCTGGCCTGTGTCCTTTTGTAGTCTGGTACCCTGCCACCACCATTGTGCTTGCCAGCTGTGAGCCCCTTTTCTGGCTGAGTGGTTTTCCCACACTGACCAACAGGGGGCAGCTCCCGCATTGAGCATCTACCCCTGGTGGTCAAGTAAACATCATAGCAACCATTTGTTCCGCTGTTTGGTCAATTTGCATATTAGGCTTTTATTATATAGGATTTGTTAGAGAACCTCAAATCTCAAATTGATTTATTTCCTTTCAGTGCTTCTCACCTACTGTTAAAGAAAAAAAAAAGTATGTAAGATGGCCTAACATATCATTTTATTTCTCCCTAGATACTTAAAAAGCTTTATCCAGATTCAGATAGGAAGAGAAGAATATTCTCATACCATACTGTTCTCTGCCCCTATAGAATTTTGTTTTTACCCAATGGCATGTAGGTGTTTTGTCACTGGTCCACACGGAAGGAGCGGATAAGACATTACCCAGTGTCACTCACTGCAGTTCTTGAAGGGCAGAGTTCACGAAGTGGGAGCCAGCTTTAGAAAGACTAAAGGAGCATTTTTGCTTTTTGGTATCAGCAGTCGTGCTTTTTCTTAGCACTTGGTTTATTTTTATGTTAAGGACACTGACTCATGGAATTGATCATGTTGCCCTATTTGTGTTGACAGCTAGAAGGTAGCTGAATTTGTGGCCTATATTTATAAGATCAAATCATATAAATTTATTTATGGCCATCATCATCCTGGTACATTTATTGTGCTTTTTGTTGTTGATATTTTGGGTCTCTAACCATTACTTTTCCATTAGTCCTAATGTTCTATATATTTTAAAAAAATTTAGAGTTTGTATGCCACTTCAAGCCTTTTATAGGAATAAATATTTATAATTAGATTTTAAAAGTTAAATAAACTGAATTGTTAGAAAAGTAGAATCTTAAGTTTGTGAATTTGATGTTTGTTATGATTTGTTTTTTAAAAATTACATAAACACTTATTGTTAAAAGTCTATTTAAATGTATTCCTATGTCATACACTGTTGCTACTTTTAAAACATTTAATATCTGTTGGTATGATAAAATATGATTTTGAAAGATAAAATAAACCTTGTAGATTCTTAAAATCTTTTCAGGAATGAGGTTAATTATAGTCAAATTAATATTAGAATTAAATGTTTTTAGTTATTTCCATCTAACAGTGGTTATAATATAATAAAAAATAAATTCTATAAGTTATACATGTTAGTGTTTTCCAGTACATAAAATTAAGTTACATGTAGAATTTTTAATACAAATTTTTATTGATTTCAGAGAGAGAGAGAAACATCAATAATGAGAGAATCATTGATTGGCTGCCTCATGCATGTTCCACACTGGGGATTGAGCCTGCAACCCCGGGAATATGCCCTGACCTGGAATTGAACCGGTGACCTCTTGGTTCCTGGGTCAACCACTGCTCAATGGCTGAGCCACATCTGGTTGAGCACGTGTAGAATATTTTAAAACTGAGTTCATAATTTTCCAAATAAGTTTCTGTTGAATTTATGCTATTACTTGCCAAGCAACTGTGTTTTTAATCAAAATAAGTTTATTATGCTGTGTAAGATGTAAAAATTATTTGTTTAAAAATTACTTAAATGTGAAAGAAAATTTGAATTAATTTTGATTTATAATTTTAATTTAGCTATTTATATTACTATGATCTCTAAATATAATTTTATTAGCAAATTTCAGAATATTATCTAATTAAAATTGTAAATCTTATATTCCAAATAGATTTTAAAATGATTTGAAAATTTTAAGAACTTATAATTCATTAATAAATCAGAGTTAGAACATTGAGAGTTTTAACAAAATATGAATTTCTTAGTTAAAGAAGTGAGTTGAGTCTAAATGTCAGCTTTCTTGTGAAATTGTAAATTAATGAATAATGGTATGGTCATTTTGGTTAGAAAAAAAGGTCAGGCATTTCAAGCAATGATGTAAGGTTGGTGAACAATCTCTTTATAATAGAGTGAGCATTATATGTAGAGTATGTTGAGATACAGAACTGTGGTGAATACTTACCATCAGTATGGGAAGAATGTATATTTTTAGAAAATTATACTGTCAACCCTTTACTATTTTTTAATGCACACAATTTAGTCTTTTCTTAGTGGCTTAGGGTTACTTAAAATTTAGTAGAGGTATTTTAGATAATAGTGACATTAAGGACCCCTACTATGGCCCTAGAACTTTTCTGAATAATTTCCCAGTGTTCACTAAACTCACTTTTGTTTTATTTTCTCAAAAGAATATTTATATTTGTTAATTATGCTTCTGGTACAGACCTGTTTATGACTGAGTTGTCTTTAGCTTGTGATAATGCTTTCAGTGCATATATAAATGACAATTTTTATATTTTCTGTAGATGTTAACAATATTTGCTTGATTCATCACTAACCTTAGAATGGAAAAAAAGATATCTGTCTATCTACACACACAAACACACACACACATACTTCTTTTAATGTACCCTTATATACTTTCTGTGTTCAGTGAAACTTAACGTTTTAACCTATTCTTGCAGGATTCATGCTTGAACCAGATCCAGAGCGTAGACCTGATATATTTCAAGTGTCCTATTTTGCATTTAAATTTGCCAAAAAGGACTGCCCCATCTCCAATATCAATGTAAGTATTTTAAATGGGATATGAATTTATAATCCATTTTATTATGTGCATGAGTTTGTGTCTGTTTATGTGTATACACATACACACTTTCAGAGTTATTTGTTTTGTGACAAGTAGCTGAGGTGAAAATAATAGTATCTCACAGATAGTACATTTAAAATTTAAGAATATATCCATAGCCTTTATTTAAAGCTTTCTGCAATTGAAATGAAAACTTAAATGACAAGTTTTATTTTTCTTCCCAGAATTCTTCTATACCTTCAGCTCTTCCTGAACCCATGACTGCTAGTGAAGCAGCTTCTAGAAAAAGCCAAATAAAAGCGAGGTAAGCGAAGTTGTGCTGACATTTGCAAAGGCTTTTAAAAAAGGGAGCTATTTCTTGTTTTTAATCCTAGCAAATGTAATTAATTAATCTATACCTACATAAAAATATTGTGTTCCTTCTTACATGTGGTATAGAGTTTAGATGTTACCTTTGAGATTTTTTAGTCACAGCTTTTTAATGTTGTCTTTTACTGATACAGAGTATTTTATTTGACATAAAATATATTTGTCTTGTACCTGTTATATGCAAGATGTAGATACTGGAAATACAAAGAAAAAGAAGCAGTGTTTATTTCCAAAGAGTTCACATTCCAAAGAAGATAATCAGCTGAACAATTCCATCCTGATAGATATCAGATATCTCTGTGTGTGGAGGAAGGGAAAGATGGGGAGCAGAGAAAACGGGAGCACAGAAAGAACCCAGTCCTTTCCCTAGGGGTGAGGCATGCTGAGCTATTGCTCGAAGGATGAATAATATAGTCCATCACCTTATATGACAGGTACTTCAGGCAAGAAAAGTTGCCTTTGTGAGACTGTAAGGGTGGCGCATAGGGGACGCATACGGGTGAGGAGTGTGTATTGGAATATGGGAGATGTGTATGGGTGGGAAGTGTATACTGGAGCATGGGGGATGTATATGGGTGGGAAGTTATACTGGAGTATGGGGGATGGATACAGGAGTGGTGGGAATGAAGCTGAAGAGCTAGGTAAATGTCAGTCAGAAGCATCTTTATTTATATATCATGCTGAGAAATTTGGCCTTTGGCGTTTACATCACTGAATTTTAAACCTTGCAGTCAGTTCTATTTGGGACTTGGTTGTGAGATGTGTTCTAAATAATCTATTATTTATAAATTGTTGAAGTGTCATTTGGGAATGACTTAGTTTAAAAAAAAATAAGGCATCACTCAAAAAATATGCTCATTTACTTGAGTTTTAAAATACTCTTCAGGAAGAGATGAAGGAGCAAAATTACAACTAACCTTCATGAATCCATTGTGATCAACAGTGTGTCCTATCTATGACATAGCTGTAGTTAGTAACTGCTGTTACAGTCAAGTGGGAATTATGAAGTTTGTCCATTGAATTTTATTGCTACTTATGTTTTTTAAATTGTTATTTGGTTAATTATTAAATCTTAAAGAAACCTTTAAAAAAATCTTTAAAAAGCATGAGTCAACTGAATAAAAATGATGCTTTGAATATCTTCACTAGGATACAAGTTATAGCTATGCTATATAATAAAAGCCTAGCAACCGAATGGTGGAATGACCAGAACGACTGGTCCACCAATCACTATGACGTGCACTGACCACCAGGGGGGAGACACTCAATACAGGAGCTGCCCCCTGGTGGTCAGTGCACTCCCACAGTGGGAGCCCTGCTTGGCTTATCGGGACGAGCAGAGCTCCCACAATGGCTGATCCCCAAGGCCATGACCTCCACCAGTGCACAAATCCTGTGCACAAGGCCTCTAGTCCTATATAATAAAAGGCCAGCAACCAGAATGACTGAGGTGCATTGACCACCTCTCGGTCTCTCCCCCTTGGCCCACAGGCTCTGATCGCAGCATGGCAAACGGGGACATGGGTGGGTGTGGCAGCAGCTGGAGCAAAGCAGCCCGGGTCTCAGGTGCTCGAGGGAAGCCAGTGCCTGCAGTCGGGGGAAAGAAGGCTTACTCTTGCACGAATATTTTTGCATCAGGCCTCTAGTACTATTATAAGCAAATGAAATAGTGAACAGCTAAATTCACAGTGCTATTCATAATATGTTAAAACTATACATTATGTATATTAAAAGAAGTTTATTTGTAAATTTACTTTATAGTAATAGTTTCAGAACTTGAAAAAAAAAACTAAATGTATATAAAACTGGTAATAAAAAAATAAGTTAAGAAATCAGCTGACAGTCGTATGGGTACTCCCTTATAGGTAACTAACACCTGTAATAATCTGAAAAATAAAGATTTATTTAAAAGTAAATAAATAAGCAAGTAAATAAATAAATAAATGCAAACACAAGGAAAAAAATAAGGTAGTCTTTTTCCATGTAAAAGGCATACTTGTGGGGGTGAGGTGAGGTGGAGAAATCTTTTAACAGCTAGTATTACTAATTATATGTTTTAAAACTTATGAATATTATGCATCTCCCTGCTTCAATCTCTGGCACTCTGCTTTACTTCTAAAGGGCCCCTGCTTCTTCTCTTGGAAACGTATGAGACCCTTAAAGATTCAGAGATTCCCTTGTGCTAGCAAGAACACTGGGATTTTAAGAGGAGAGAGACTATGCTTTAGGAAGATTGTTTAGGTGGTCAGAGGAAGGACAAGAAGGAGAGCAGGGGGAGCAGTTTTGTGTCTGTTGCATTATGCAGATGAAGCGGTGCAGCAGCTTTGCTACCAGTAGTGACTCAGTCTTTCACTTCAGGCAGGTGTGTGTGTGTGTGTGTGTGTGTCTTCTCTTTGCCTGACTGTCCAGGTTTTTCTTTTCATTTCCTCACACACAGTGCTTTGCTTCTTTTCACTGCCTTATTTATATCTCTGTTTCCTACTTGAAGCCTTTTCAGGCCAATTTAGGCTAAAGGGAGAATTAATTACTCCTCCATGAAACTCTTGACAGTACTAGTGTGGCAATGATGATGTTTACTGTTACATTTTAGTATATTTTCGTGAACATGTGCTGTATCTCCCTAGGTATACTATAGATTATTTGAAGACAGGGTAGTATGTCGTGGTTGCTGGATATCAGTAAATTGTATATTAGATATTGGTACATTGGTAAAATAAATGAAGAAACACTAAACAAAGTCTTCAGAACCTTAGAGAGAGCTTTAGAATAGGAACAAGGCAGGTGAAGTCTGTTAATAAAGAATGGATAAACAGGAAAAGTGTATATAATATGTTCTCTAAATTACTTGATTGTAGGGAGTACAATATTGGTTTTAGTGCCACATCCATCATTTGAACTTAATATTTGATTTACCATAAAAATAAGATCTAGTTGGTTCTATGTATACATGAACTTTTATTTGCTTTTTAGTTCAGTTTTCATATGACGTAGACCATCCCCATTTCATCTAAAACATAAATATTATATTTAGGAAACAGCATACATACAATATCTTTCTGCAATTTTCTAAAATTAACTTTCTTCTTAGAAAGATAGTTGTGCCTATGGCTCCCTCTTGTGGCTCATACAGATATCAGATCTGGGTCTGTGCAGTCTGGCAGACAGGACTACATCCACGACAGCAGATGTGCATTTAATAAATCATATATATGCAGAATGTTAAGTGTTAAATCATTTGAAGATATGCTCATGAAACTTGGTAAAGAGATTTTATTGCAGTCTTGTTGAAGAATGAGATATTAAAAATTGAGTTTTTGTACTGAATTTATAGAAAGCAAAGTTAGTAGGTATGGAAGTTAAAGATTTTTCCTGGGATTTTCTGAGAGAAAAGCAAATATTGTCCTTAACTTTTAAAATTATGATTGCTACTTGACTTCCCATATCTTGGTCTAAACTAAGTCCTAGTGGGAAAGTTTTATGTTATTTCCATTCAGGGTTTTAAGAAAAGCAAAGTTTAAGATTCAAGAAGTTAAATGTGAGCAGGTAGCTCCATTTGTTAAAAGTTTTGGCTTCTTTTGTTACTGTGTGGCCTAGGGTGCAGTCTCTTCTTTCTTAGCCTAGAGTCTAAGCTAAGGAAGACTCTTATTTGTTGTTTCTTATTGGTATTTCCTGGTTGGTTCAGAGAGGGGGCTCTCAATTTTGTCTAAAACCTTAGGAGACAAGGTTTGTTTATTTCCTTTATTTCATCTTCTTAAGAGCAATTTTATATTCTTTCCCTGCCAGCTTCAGAGGCAGACTGTGAATGGTTGCATACGGTTTAAAGGAAATGGTTAGGCTTATCTTACTTTTCTATCTCCAGTAAACATTTATTTATTTTAAAAAATATATTTTTATTGATTTCAGAAAAGAAGGAAGAAGGAAAGAGAGAGAGAAATATCAGTGATGAGGGAGAATCATCAATCGGCTGCCTTTTGCACATCCCCTACTGGGAATCAAGCCCACAACCTGGGCATACGCCCTTACCAGGATTCGAACTGTAACCTCCATGTTCATAGGTTAATGCTCAACCACTGAGCCATGCCAGCCAGGCTCAGTAAGCATTTAAAACTTGGGAATGAGACTTAGGAAGGAGCTAAGAACTCGAACATGTTTGTAGTAAGAATTAAAGTGCATCTGTTGAAATAGATGCTTTGTAGAACAGAGAGTGAATTAGAAATAACCCCAATATTTGGAATGAAATGTATTCTTCTCTTGTAGAATAACAGATACCATTGGACCAACAGAAACCTCAATTGCACCAAGACAAAGACCAAAGGCCAACTCTACTACTGCCACCCCGAGTGTGCTGACCATTCAGAGTTCAGCTACACCTGTTAAAGTCCCTGTGCCTGGGGAATTCAGTAACCACAGATCAAAAGGTAATATAGCCCTGCCAAATTAGGAATTAATTTATAGTTAATGAAAACACACCTTTGATTTCTTAGGAATATAAATTAATTCAAACTTACTGTTGTGAAGCAGATAACATAATGCTTTAAGAACCTTTCTACTGATGTCTAATAAACTCAACTACAGTAGGTCTTTGGGTTACGTCGGAGATCCGTTCCTATGGCGCGATGTAACACAATTTTCACTGTAAGTCGGAACCCACCTCCATAAGCACCTACATCACTCACATGGAGCACGGACACAGCAGTAATGAAGTGAAACAGTAAAAAAATTTTAAAAGAAATATAACAATTCCTGACCTTTACTTGTGGTAAATAAATAAAAAAAAACATAAAGCACATATGTCAAAATGACGGATTTTTTTTTTTTTTAAATAAATGGAGATGGTGATGTAAACATGAAATGTCGTATGTTGAGTCTGATGTAACCCGAGGATTGCCTGTAATTATTTTTCTAAAGTTCTAGGACATAAAAAAGTATGGTATACAAAACCCACAGTTTATTTATCCCTAGTGTCATCAACGAGTAGGGTTTGAAGTTGATGATAAAGTTCAAGAATATAGAAAATTCTGTGTTGTATTGGAAAGGAGGAAGCCTCACAAAGTTCTATGTCTTTGCACTGATGTAGAGTCTTGGCCATGGAGTCTGTCTTGGGCTGTGTAGACAGTGCAGTATAGAAATTTGTCTTGTCACCTGATTTTGAGAAAAATTGTATTTCTAATATAAATATCTTCTAAGCATTATGAATCAATACAGGGTTTAAAACAATTTATCTTCCCCCCTCCAATGAAATATCTTTAATATTAGAGAGTAAACTTGTTCTGTCAAAGGTTTGGGTATATAACTTGAAGGCCCATCTCAAGGAAACCTCTCTGGCACTTTATTTCATGATATATATTTTTAAATGTTTAGACTACTCCAGTGGTTAAGATCCCATATTTTAAGGCTCTGGATCTGTGTGCCCCTTCTCCCGCCCCCCCCCCCCCCCCAATTTTTTAGTAATATAAGTTAGTAAAATGCTATATTTCTCATAAGATTGTTGTGAGGATTAAATGACTGCTTAATATAATGCCTGTCACATAATATGCCTTAATAAATGTTAACTACCCTGTTTCCCCAAAAATAAGACAGTGTCTTATATTAATTTTTGCTCCCAAAGATGCGCTAGGTCTTATTTTCAAAGGATGTCTTATTTCTCCATGAAGAAGAATATGTTACACATTTATTGTGAAATGAAAATAAAGGAAATTTATTACCTGTATACGGTACGTTAGTACGGTAGTTGTCAACACAAACCAGACAAACTGTGAATCCTACAGTATCAAGAATTTACTCATTTATTCAATGACAATCATGTCATCATCTTCTGGAACATCATGATAACAACCCAATTCCTGAATTTCCTGGTGAATTTCCTGTGACTCCATTTCTTTCAGAATCAGTGGACCAAATCTCTCATGTTTAGCAATAGCATTCTGAGACAGAGCCTGAGGGGGGGGTGGGGAGACTTATTTTCAGGGGGATGCCTTATATTTCACTCAGAAGGAAACCTGTAAGTAGGTCTTATTTTCGGAGGATGTCTTATTTTCGTGGAAACACGGTATTAATTACTGTTAGTACTATGAAGTAAAATATATGCTTAGGGATGGTAATGTTTATGTTATCTGATTTATTGCTGCATATCTTGTGGTGATCAGGTATATCAGATAGAGTATTTTATGGAAGAGGGGAGGAGAGAGTATTTTATGGAAGAGGGGAGGAGAAAATAGGGGAATTTGAAATCTTTTGTGTCCAATTCTCATTTTACCATTTCTTATCCGCCCTGTTCTCTTTTATAAAATGGGAATAACAACTTTTTCCTGTCATAAGGAGTAAATAACAAAAGGTGTATGCTAGCTAGGAAAATTATGTTTCATAGTAAACATTCAGTGTGTTAATTTTTCTCTTTTCTACTCTTTTGGTTTGAAGATCCTATTAGTCAATTATGTATTAATGGCCTTCAGACAAGACTGTCACACTTGTAGTTGGACAAATGGGTTTATTACTCACGTGCTGTGGGGATCTGTGGGAGTGTCTCAGTAAAGTGGTATTTGAATTATTAAAGGATTTGGGCTGTGTTAGGTAGTTTTGGGGAGGCTATAAGGAAGTGGGGCTTTGCTCTGAATGGAGAGTTAGGAAGGTGGGGGTGTGATATCATAAATAGAAGGAGGGAAGCCAAAGCCTCAGTAGGTGGGAAGCATCCTTCATTCATGTGAGGCAGGCCAGGGAGGGTTCGGTCACTCCTGTGGTTTGGGCAGAGTTCCTGATTTTGTCAGTGCTGAGACATGATCATGGAGTGGTCTTGTTGTCCTGGCCCATCATGGTCACAGGAGGGCTTTGTCTAGTGCTGGTATTGAGTGAAACTGCATATGTTCATCTGGGAAACAAGACCTCGCTGTGAGTGCCAGGCCTGCTGCCTTCCATGTTGGGGGCAGTGTTTATCATTTATGCTTCTAGCCCAAGCTGGAAAAGCTAGACTGTTTCCCCATGTAGTCAGAAAGTAACAAATGAATCTATTCTTTTAAAACATTGAGACAATATAGCAATAATCAGAGGAAAATGTAAAACTCTCCCTTCTTTTTCTTCTCGGAATAAACCAGCCGTAGTTCAGTGTGTAGCCCATATTTGCTCTTATTAATCGTATTGGGATGAACATTCTTTTTTTTTTTTTTTTTTTAATAAAATTACAGTTTATAAAAATTTGTAGGATGCAGCTGAATGAAGCATGGTTAAAAAGGGAACTAGTTTTCACAAATTGACACAATAGAAAAGACAGACCAAAAATGAAAAATCTCCCACCTTTAGAACACTTAAAAGGAAAATAATGCATATTAAAACCTAAAGGTAAAGGAAGAATTAAAATAATGAAATAGGAGAAAATAAAGTTGAAAATGAGAACATATTAGAATGGAGAAAGCAAAAGTTTTGAAAATATTTTTAAAAATTGATTTGAAACAAGAACCATAGCACATATCTCACAACTTAAATAAAAATTAAATCAATCATTGACCTGTTGTGCCCAGACTTCATGATCCCTAAGGACTACCAGGGAGCCGAGTCCGATGCGATAAACAAAAGAGCCTCTTCCATGCTAGCATGGGCTCTGTCCCACTCACGCCGGCAGCATGGCGGAAGAGAGAAAAGAGCGAATTTCGCCCAGTCCAGGGGTTTACTCGGGTTGGTGGTGATGTCACTGCCTCGGCTAACCCTGATTGGTTGGGTGAGTGCTAGGGATAACTCCGCCCTGCCCTGCAGTGGAGTCGGAGCTCATCCTGCCCTGCCCTGCCCTCTCATTCCCCCCTTGTCTAATGTGCCTAGTCAAATCATTGACTCAGCCTATTTTCTTTCAGCATAAACAACAAATACAGTTACCAAGACCCTTAGTACCACAGTTCCCATCAGTATTGTCCTCACTGAAGTCCAGTTCCCCTCCTGCAGGCATCAGTTCTCCTCCTGGCCTGTAGTTGCCAGGATCCAGGCCATGCAGGAGCTGAGAGTCATGTAGTCAGGTCTGGGTGCCATTTACTTCAACAGCAGTGGGCGTGCTCAGGATAAAAGTGCAGTGTCCCTTTGAGTTCTTGGGCAGTGAATTTCTTTACCCACATTGAGTTCCGGGGCTACAAGGTCTGCAGTAGGCACTGGCAATGCATCTGGAACAAGCAAACTGCAGAGCCTGTAAGGACTTGAGCAAGGGAATGGTTATCATACATGATCCCCTCCCAAAAAAGGAGAAACTTGCCCCAGTAAGGGGTACACCTGGCCCTCAAGAGGGCAAAGGACAGGGGGTTGGTCCAATTTTCACCTATTCTAGGACACATTTAGTTAAACCCCTTTTCCAGAGTCTCACTTACCTATCCTAAGGCTAGAGCTATACTCTGAGATACCTTAGCTACCAAGGTGGGGCTGTTATCTGATACTGTCAGCCCAAATCTAGGTATAATCTCCTGGAGTAATCTCTTGACTACTATAGAGGTCGTTTCCATTCTAGTGAGGTATACTTCAACCTAATCTGAAGTGTCTACAAAAACTAAACCCTAATGTTGGTGGTTTAATCTCTGAAATCCACCTACCAATGCTCTCCTGGGGAAGTTCCCTGGACCCGAATTCCCAGGGGACCCCCTTACCTTGCTTAGCATTTACCTGTGCACAGACAGTACTTCTAGCAACTCTGCCTCACAGAAGTTCAGAAATCTTGGTGACACTTAAGTGGGTAATCTGGTGTCACACTTAAGTGGGTAATCTGGCAACTCTGACCTAGAGCCTCTGGGACCAACAGTCTTGTCATCTGGAGGGTCCACCAATTATCTGGTCTGTCAGGGGCTTCTTCTGGGGATGAACATTCTTATAGCAGACTTTTGAAGTACATGTCAGAACACTTTTCTGAGGAAGATGTTAAAAAGTATGCTTAATCAAAATTTGTTAGATAATGCCAAGTTGCTATCCAAAAAGACTTAAAAAAAAATTTACATTATCATCAACAGTGAGTGTCCTTTCATTCCTATTCTTATCAACAGTTAGTAGAATCGGTTTTTAAAGATGTTTTCCTACGGATAGGTGCAACTTTTTTTTTTGTTACATTTAAATATTCTTGATTAATAGTACTCTTTTATATATTTACTGGCCACTTTTTTTTCTGTGAATTTTTGCAATTTTAAAATAAGATTGTCTTTATTTTTATTGCTCTGAATGTTTTATTTTTCTGTATTTTGAATATTAGCTCTTAGTCAAAGGTATTATATTTTCTTATAATTTATCATGTGTCTTTAATTTTATTTGGTAGTTCACTTAATTTCTTTGAGCTGTACTTTCATCATTTGTAAGATAGGGGAAATGTGGTAGGAGCATTTAATGACGTACTTGAAAGCAGTGTTTTCTTGGGGGCTTGTTTCGATGCTGTTTGGGAGTTCTCTGGTGCTCCTTGCCCTTGTCTTGAGAACCAAGGAGCTCTATTTAGCTTGATGACACTAAATTAAAGGTCACAGTTTGTAAGATAAGAGGTGAAGCTCAAGAATTATTGCCTGATGATCATTGGTTTGTGATTGGGTTTTACCAAATCCAGCCACTACTATTCTTCCCCTAGATATTAGGTGCTAAAAGAAGAATGTTTAGCTGAGGAGTTTAACTTCTAATACTCATAACTAGAAACAAATATACTTAAAGGCTAAAAATGGTGGTTATGTTTGTGGTGCAATTATGGTTTAATTTTCTTCTTTATATTTTATAAATATTTTCAGGGGTAATTAAAATGAACAAGCAGTTTCTTATAATTGGAAGAATTAGAAAAAGCTATAAAGCTATTGTCACAGAGGTGTATACTTCAGGCCTAGAGAGGTTTGAAGATATTAATGTTGATGGAAAAGGACTCTTCTCTCCCTCCTTTATTTGTTTCTCCTTTCCCCCCCATAGGATTAAAGAGTTTCATTTGAATTTATGGTAACCCATTGGCAGAGAATATGTAAATTATAGTGTATTTCTCTTTTTTTTTCTCCTGGTGTTTTGTATATCTTTTTCATTAATTTCTAAAATTTATTCATAGGATAGTCCTAGAGTAAGATTTGTGAAGCTTATAAATAAATATCCATTTAGGAGATAGTGTTAATACATTTATCACAGTAGCATTTATTGATCTATTGTGTAAAGGTTCTTTGGGGTGCTAAGAGATAAATAAGTCACCACCTCATCCCTCTGCAGCCCCAGTTAGGAAATAGCCATTAAACAGTTTATATGTGCAAGGCATGAACTGAGTAGAAGTGTTAGATGAAGGAACAAGGAAGAAAGTTTTGAGTTAAACTTTAAAGGATAAAAATTGTAGTAGATGGAAAGTGACATTCTAGGTGGAGAGAATAATTTTGGCAAAGACACAGTCTCATATCAGTGCATGACAGAATTGAGAAATGCAGAAGAAACTGACATCGCTGCTTTGTTCATGGAGAGATGAAATGTGAAAGATGAATTGCTTCTAAGATATTGACTTGTTCAGAGTTGCAGCTGACAAAATTAACTTTCATGGGTACTTAGATTTAGAGTAAATAATCCCTTGAGATTATGTTCTTATGAAAGTTTCTATATTCTAAAATAAGGCTATAAATGCCTTGGTTAAAGGATTATTGAATTAGTGTTTTTGAAATACACCCATTGTTTTTGAAATCCATGAGTATGTTAATGTAAGTTTTTGGAAACTCCTTTTAGGAGCACTGAGACCTGGAGTCAGCCCTGAGATTTTACTGGGTCAGGGGCCCCCTCAACAGCCTCCGCAGCAAAACAGAGTCCTTCAGCAACTACAGCAGGGAGACTGGAGATTGCAGCAACTTCATTCACAGCCTCGCCATCCTCAGCAGCAGCAGCAGGATGCTTATATGCAGCAGGTACTTCTTTTGTTACTTTAGATGTGAAAGTAGTGTTGGGAAATGCATGCAGCTTTGAATATCAGTAAATTCCTTTTCTTGCCATGGGCACCTTGAACTCTAGATCCAAGTAAACATTTTATTTAATTTTCTGACTAAGGAATATGTGTTTTATTTGCATTCTTTAAACTACTTAAGAATACTCTATTGAATTAGTTGCATCATGGCCTTATAAGGCAAATAATATTCACCTAGTCATTTGGCATCATGAATAAACACTGCAATTTATGATAAATATTTTTTTAGTTATATTTTGAGTTCAGATACATAAGCTATAATTATTTTATTGTTGGAAAGGTGATATTAAACTTAGAAAAGTAACATTGTCATGAGTTTTTGTTTTGTATGTTTGCTTGGTGTGTTTGTGGATGGTGAAAGGAGACATTTAGAGTTGCAAGGGATATAGAAAAAAAAAATAACCTTAAGTTCTGTTCTATGCTTTGCCTCATCAGAAACAGCAAATTTCTAGTTTTATTAAACATTTTGAATTTAATGACTGTTACCATTATCTTTCATAATTTCTTGAAATATTTTTGAGTCAACTATATGAATGGCACTTCTCAGGAGTGCCTCCCTTCTCTAGTCTTGACTGATAGCCAAAGTGGAGGGTAGTTAAGTAGGTGATGGCTAGAAGATATAATTGAAGGGGAGATAAGAAGAGCTTGGGAATCCTATATAATAAAGAGATAATATGCAAATTGACCATCACTCCAACACACTGCCCCCATGTGGATACAAGATGGCCACCACAAGATAGCAAGCAGGGAAGGGCAGTTGGGAGGTGACTGGGCCTTCAGGGGAGGGCAGTTGGGGGGGACCCAGACCTGCAGGGGAAGGCAGTTGGGGGCGAGCAGGCCAGCAGGGGAGGGCAGTTAGGGGTAACCAAACAGTAGGGGCAATTGTGCTTGCAGGGGTACAGTTAGGTGTCAATCAGGTTAGCAGGGGAGTGATTAGGGGGTGATCAGGCTGGCAGACAGAAGTGGTTAAGGGCAGTCAGGAAGGCAGGCAGGTGAGCAGTTGGGAGCTAGCCGTCCTGAGGTCTCTAGTTGAATATAATGAATTCTGGATACAAGTAACTTCAGGGTCTTCGTCAAACTAGTAAATGTTTAGGTTTCTTCCCAACACCCTTAAGGTGCTAGAAATGGTTTTGGTTGAATCTATTATGTTTCATTGATAATTCTGAAGCCATTTTCAATAATGTATAAGTTGTAGTTACTGACTATAGCTATTTTATTTTGGTGTTTGGACTCCTGAGTATCCAAGTCATTGTTATGGTACAATTAGCATGAAAAAGAAAGACTATGGCACAAAAAAGGCATGAGTAATATTGGTGAACTTGTTTACTTTTCTCATTGTAGTATCAACATGCTTTGCAGCAGCAACAGATACTGCAGCAACAATTTTTAATGCACTCAGTATATCAGCCACAGCCTTCTGTATCACAGTATCCTGCAATGGTAAGTGTTACATAATTTCTAGAGATTTTTCTCTGAATATGCTGTTGGAATTCACAGTGTGAGTGGCATCATTCAGAATTTAATTATTTCAAAATCAATCCAAGTTAGTTAATTATACATCCCATATAATAAAAGCCTAACATGCTAAGTGTCCAGTTGGCCGTTCAACCAATTAAAACATAATATGCTAATGATATGCTAAGGCTGCTCAACTGTTCACTATGTCATATACTGACCACTAGGGGGCAGACGCTCCAACCAGTAGGTTAGCTTGTTTTTGGGGTCCAGTCGATCGGGACTGAGTGAGATGGGCCGAACATGCCCTGAAGCCCTCCCACCGCCCCTCCCCAGCTGGCCACCTTCCCACGTCCCTCCTAGGCCCCAATTATGCACCAGTGGGGTTCCTTGGCTTGGCTTGCACGCTCTTGAATCTGGGACCTCTTGGAGGGTGTCAGAGAACCGGTTTCAGCCTGATCCCACAGGCCAGGTCAAGGGACCCCACTGGTGCATGAATTCGTGCACTGGGCCACTAGTACTTGTATATATCTCTATGTACATCTATATAAAATTGAGTTTTAAAGAGAGAGGAAAAAGGAGAAATGGAGAGATAGAAACATTGATGAGAGAGAAACATCATTAATTGGCTGCCTCCTACACACACACCTCAAAATCCAGACATGTGACCTGACTGGGTATAAGACCATGACCTCTTGGTTCCTGGGTCGGAACTCAACTACTGAGCACATCTGCTGGGCTAATTACACATATTTTACCAAAGCAGTAATATATACTTTTTTTTTTAAAGCAGGACAACTGTGATAGTTTTTTTTTTTTTTTTGTTGTGGTAAAATATATACTGAGTGACCAGATTATTATGATCTTTGAATGCATAAAAATCTGGCCACTCAGTGTATATCCTATATAATAAAAGGCTAATATGCAAATTGTCCCCTTGACCAGTTGTTCAACCAGCAGGCAGGCTGGCCACCCGCCCATGTCCCTTCCCCCTGGCCAGGCTGGCCGGACCTCACCCATGCACAAATTCATGCACCAGGTCTCTAACACACAGACACACACACACACACACACACACACACTCACATACTGAGTGGCCAGATTATTTTGCCTTCAGAGATCATCATAATCTGGCCACTCTGTGTATATAACATCACATTTACCATTTTATCCCTTTTTGAGTGTACAATTCAATGGCCTTTAAGTACATTCACATTATTGTGCTCTCCATCTCAGGAACTTTCCTGTCATCCCAAATTGAAACTCTGTATCCATTAAACTGAAGCTACTCTTTCTCCTCTCCCCCTGAGCTCCTGGTAATAGCTCTTCTACTTTTTTGTTGTTTTTGTTGAGTCTTTTAGGGATGTTACCCATTTCCCTGCCTACCCCGAACCTTTGCCTCCCTCCACCCAGTTCCTGCTCCTCTCCTCCTCTGCAGGCCTTCACCACATTATTGTCTGTGTCCATGGACTATGTATATATGTATATATATTCTTTGGTTGATCTCTTCCCATCCTACCCTTTCTTCCTCCCTTCTGAGATACGTCAGTTTGTTCCGTTTACTCATGCCTCTGGTCCTATTTTATTTTATTTAGTTTATCATCAGTTTTATTTTTTAGGTACCACATATAAGTGAGGTCATGTGATTCTTGTCTTTCTCTGACTCAAAGCCAGTCATGTATTATAAATCAGCTTTAAAGTAGGCTGAACTATAGCAACTTTGGCACTTTGTAACTAACTGGTAGTATTTTTTGTTTACCTCATAGTATAAGGAAAATGGTTCTGTTTCCCATTATCTTTTTGTCCTATGTCTTTCACTTCGCAAATGTCAGTTGAAGAAAGTTATGTTAGTTTCTGAGAATAGTTTGATCTTTTTTACAGCAACCACCATATTATAAGGACTAACATACTCTATTATCTTAAAACTTAAGAGGCCTAGTGCACGAAATTTGTGCACGGGGAGGGGATGTCCCTCAGCCCGGCCTGCACCCTCTCCAATCTGGGACCCCTTGGGGGATAATGGGCAGTCAGACATCTGTCTCACAATCCAAGACCCCTGGCTCCTAACTGCTTGCCTTGCCTGCCTTGCCTGATTGCCCCAGCTGCTTCTGCCTCCCAGCCTAATTTCCCCCTAACCACTCCCCTTCTGGCCTTATCGCCCCCAACTGCCCTCTCTTCCAGCCCAATTGCTCCTAACTGCCCTCCCCTGCCATGATCCACCTCCTCCACTGGGACCCGCCTTCTCCATGTGAGGTGGCAGAGACGCCGGGACCGGCCTCCTCTGTGGGGTGCAGAGCTGCGGGATCCCAAAGCCTCACCACACGAAGTGGCCACCGGGCTCGGGCTCTGCTGTGCATGCGGCCATCTTGTGATGACGTTGTGCATGAGAACCACCTAAGCTTTTTTTAGTATAGATATTTAAAGGATAATTTTTAATCCTTCCAATTAGCTTACCTTTATAATTTCTTAACTAGATTTATTTCATTTTGTTGTATTTTTCTAGTAGCGAATTGCTCCTTTAGATATAAATTCTTTTTAATTTTTTTGAATTTGTTGCCAGTGTGAAAAGAAGGATATAATAAATAGGTATGGAGCTGACAGTGTATTAGTGAACTTGAGCATTGTTTTGTATAATGGCATTTCTGGTTTCAGGTGCAGCGGTATCAGCAGGCTTTCATGCAGCAGCAAATGGTAGCTCAGCAACAGCAGTCTCAACAACAGGCATCATCTGAGTATCTTACTTCCCCTCAAGAGTTCTCACCGGCCTTAGTTTCCTATACTCCATCTCTTCCAGCTCAGGTTGGAACCATAATGGACTCCTCTTATAGTGCCAATAGGCAAGTATTTTTCCAATGAATGCTAAGGAAATTCTTGTGGAAGTAGGTGTAATTGTGGATTGGAGTCCTTAAGTGGCTCCTGAATTAGTTTAGAGTCCATCTTTCTGTAGCATTTCCCTACTCCCCCCTCCCCTCCCCCCCTTTAAAATCAATGAACATATCCTTGGGTGAGGATTAAAAATAAAAAGAAGCACATAGAGATTGTTCCTCCATTACCAATGTTAGAACATCTGGATCTGAATTTGGAATGAACTTGACAAACTTTTTTATGTTGCCTTATTCCTATGCTGTATTTGCAGGCTGGATTGAAGGGAGGTGCCCAGGGATATTCTTAGGTTAAGAAGTCTTGAGATCTTATCTTCCCTTAAAAGCTAAGAGGCCTATTAGATAACTTTTCATAAAACCATTGGTCCCAGACTCTAGACTATAGATACTTTAACACCATGAAAGATGTATTATGTAAAAAATAACTCTTACCTAGTTTTAGCTAATGTATAAAGCAATTCTAGCAGTTAATAATTTGTTGGTAGCTACTTAGAAAATGCCTCTATTAAAAGGAAAGTTATTGTGACTTCTCACAGTAAGGGCATAAAATCACCTTACTAGAGATTTTAGAATGATGTCTTTGATATGGCTACTGATTTTCATTTTAAGGCGTATTCACTATGATAATATTATAGTAGTTAATATTTATTGAATGCTTAATATTTTTTTACTAGACACTGTTCTCTATATGTATATTAAATCATTTAATCTCAGTATTCCTATGAGGTATATCCTGTTACTCCTGTTTTATAGATAAGGATGCTGAGAAATAGAGAGGTTAAGCTTCCTATCCAAGGGTACACAGCAAGTGACCTTAAAGGGCCTGTTAAAATCCCAGTTGATCTTTCTCTCAATCAATGCCCTTATCTGTCATTTCCATAACAATACAGCCATCTGCTTTCCTAAGCATGTATAAATTAGGGCATTTAAAAAATTCAGTTTTAATATTTTTTCTTCTCTTAAATTATTACTCTAGGTCAATTGTTGAAAAAGAAGCAGTTGCAAATATTACAAATCAGAAGAACTTCAGTAACCCACCTGATATGTCAGGGTGGAATCCTTTCGGAGAGGATAATTTCTCCAAATTAACAGAAGAAGAATTGTTGGACAGAGAATTTGACCTTCTAAGATCAAGTAAGGGACACTTGAAGGCTTACTTTGCTTCAGAGTAAAATAACAGCTCTATGATTATTCAGCAAGGCCAAAGACTGCTTTAAGGGGGTAAATAGAAAATTCTTTTTGCACATTTGAGGGCAAAAATCAGGCCATCTTCTCTGACATACAGAACTATCAAACTATGTTGCGTGCATTAGAACTCAGTTGCTTGATAGTAGCTATTAAACCCAAGATTACTGATAATACACTGATTCCTAACGCTTAAAATATATTGCGTATTATTGAATGTTAAGTTCAGAGTGTCTCCAAAACATGGAAAATTAATGTTCAAATAAAAAGGGAGACATTGGTATCATGCTTTACTAGTAATCATTTTGAAGCTTTGTGTTTTTTTGCATATTCAAAAGAAGATATTGTGGGTCTGAAATGCCCTTTGAAAGTGCCTGAAAGAAAACATGGGCCACTACATTATGTTAATGTTTTGTAATGCCCTTTTAATGAGTGATAACATGAAAGGGCTGCTTTGTTGTCCTGATGTGGCAAAAATTAAATAAATTTTTTCCATTTTAAATCAGATATCTCAATGTTTTTACTTGGAATCATTGCCTTTTCTTTTTACCTTTTCCTAAACTACCTAATATATATGTCAAGCCTTGCCATACATAAATTTAAAAGAGTTCCTTTTTTTGGAAAAGGGAACTGTGGAATGTTTTGAGGAGGTTGCTAAATTGGAGCAAAACACTTCCGGTGCATGTAATTTTCAGGTTTCTCAGGTGTGTGTGTGTGTGTGTGTGTGTGTGTGTGTGTGTGTGCGCGTGTGTGTGTGTGCGCGCGCGTGCGCGCGCGCATTCAAGTGTGCTTACCCATTTTTGCATGTGAAAAGAAGATCTTACTGGTCCCTACTTAGAGTTTCTAGTTTCTAGTTTATTTTAGGTAACTGGCCTCATGAGAACATTTACTAGATAAAATGCTTTGTTCCACATTGGTATACTATATTTTATGTAAAATGTTAAATGCTCTGAGAATAGTTGTTTGGGATTTGAATTTGTATTTTACATATTGGTCATATGATTATCAAAAATTAAATTGATGATTAAATGTAGATATAAAATGAGTTCTGAGCCTTTAATAAAAGTTTGTTAACTTTGGTAAAACCAATCTTACATCTTTTTATTAAAAGTTGTTTTTTAACCACAACTTTTTTGTTTGATATTTCCCCTACAATTTATGTTGAGTGACCCCAAAGCAAAGTTTTAAAAAAGGAAACAGCCCTGACCGGTTTGGCTCATTGGATAGAGCCTCAGACTGAAAGGTCCTAGGTTCGATTCCGGTCAAGGGCATGTACCTTGGTTGCAGGCACATCCCCAGCAGGGGGTGTGCAAGAGGCAGCTGATCCATGTTTCTCTCTATCCCTCTCCCTTCTCTGTAAAAAAAAAAAATCAACACTATATATATATAAAACAAAATATTTTTTGGGGGGGGGGAGGGCGCGTTGGCAGGGAGGCACAGGGATAATCAGATCATTATGACTTGAGGAATTATTTTTAAAGCAATAGAAACAATTAAAATACTTATTTAATATGTTCTTACTGTGAGAGTAACCAAGGGTTTGTTAAATCATTGTTTTTTACTCCTTTGATAAAACCTTAAAAAAAATTAATTTATGGAATGGGTAAACTGTTCACATAATTTCGACTTTGTAAAAATTTGTAATGACACCCAAGTTTTATTTACTTCATATAGGCAAGAATGGCATATAAATATTCATGTGTACAGAATTTCATAAAAATTGGTTTAGCATGTAAAATTTTTAAAAAATATATATTTTATTGATTTTTTCAGAGAGGAAGAGAGAGGGATAGAGAGCTAGAAACATCAATGAGAGAGAAACATCGATCAGCTGCCTCCTGCACACTCCATTGGGGATGTGCAGGTACATATCCTTGACCGGTATCGAACCTGGGACCTTTCAGTCTGCAGGCTGATACTCTATCCACTGAGCCAAACCGGTTTCGGCAACATGTAAAATTCTTTTTAAAAATATATTTTTTTATTGATTTCAGAGGGGAAAGAAGAAGGGGTTGAGGAGGAAAAGAAACACAATGATGAGAGAATCATTGATCAGCTGCCTCCTACATGGCCCACACTGGGGGTTTATGCCCCGACCGGGAATTGAATCTCGACCTCCTGGTTCATAGGTTGACAATGCTCAACCACTGACCTATGCCAGCTGGGCAGTTAGAATGTAAAACTCTTAACCAGCTATTTGCTTTCAAGCTTCAAGGTCAGATAATGTGTGTACTTTGCATATGTAGTTAATGCACACGTACATATGCCAAAGAGAGTTTAGACTTCATTGCAGTGTTAATTATGGAAAGGTGTTAAGTTCCAACTAAATGTATAGGAGGAAATTTATGTGAAGGTCATACTTGGAGTAACTCATCCACCTGGCAAATTGCCTGGATAGTCCCTGAGTTATGGAAATCCTTGTCAGAGGCTGATGCACGTTGGCATATAACATCAGAAGATAGGAACTCTGAGCCCTGACAGTGTCGTTTAACTAGGTTGTAATCTCAATGATGTCACTTAACTGCTGTCTCACTTCCTCATTTAAAAGCTGAATATAATGATGCTTTAACTCAGAGTGTTCTCAAGAAAATTAGGTGAAATGTCTTTAAAGAATCTGGGCACTCAATAAAATGTCACTTTTCCTTTTCTCATCTTCTGTGTAAGTCTTTAGGCTCCAACTTATGAGATTAGTGCCTCTTAACTAGAATTTGAAAATTATATTTAAATTATCAGGTTTCTTAGCTGGCAACCAAAAAACCAAATTAGAAGGGACTTTGTGAGCAAAAACAACAGCAAGAGTGACAGGTAACAAATAGTAAGGAAGGAGCAGAAACATGTCTTTTTTTCTGTTAGTAATTGATAGTCATAATGAGATTCAAGAAAGGTGAAATGTTTTAATAAAGTTTACAAAGAAATCAAGAATATATAAAATGTAATTTAGAAAGTCTTCCTCACGAAGTTTTACTTAGCTGTACTGTTCAGTCATCTCTAGCACCTCTTTCACTCACAAGCAGAAATGTATCTAATATTTGATCTAGTTGATAGATCAGGTTTAAATTACACTGATGGGCAAAAGACCTCTTCCAGAAACTTAAAAGAGTTTTGGTAAAAGCTAATGTCATGAAAGTTGATTGTTTGGTCATTACTGGTTGGTTCCTCCGTCTCTTAACAACTTTCCAAAAGTGAATAAATAATTTATTGATTCATTTGAAATACCAAATTTATCTTTTTTTCCATTAGGTAGTTATTTTTCACAAATTTTCAAAGTTCTTTATAAAATAATTTAGATTTGGTTTATGAGATACTTTTTAAAAAATATATATATTTTATTGATTTTTTACAGAGAGGAAGAGAGAGCGATTGAGAGCTAGAAACATCGATGAGAGAGAAACATCGACCAGCTGCCTCCTGCACACCCCCTACCGGGGATGTGCCCGCAACCAATGTACATGCCCCTGACCGGAATGGAACCTGGGACCTTTCAGTCCGCAGACCGATGCTCTACCACTGAGCCAAACCAGTTTCGGCTATGAGATACTTTCTTAAAGATATAGATATAACCATTGACCATGTAATGATTGCTCACACTAATACATTCTTATTTCACATTTTATTTTTTAAATGATTCATGGTTATTTATTAAAAGGAAAAAATAGAAAGCAATATGATGTTTAGGAAATACTTATGTGTATTATTCAGAAGATAATGTTAAAGTCAAATATTTTGAGATTCTAAAATTAAAACAAAAGCTGTTTTTTAGTGATCTTTAAGAAAACAGAAAGGGATTTAACATGTAAAATAAACCAGATTCTTCTTATTTTTGCTTTTAGTGTAACTGAATATTATTTATGCTTCAGAATTTTTACCTGTTCCTAATTAAAAACAAAACATTAAATCAAAATGAAGAATTATTAATAAAATTGGTCTCAGTAATATTTTTAAAAAATTAGTAAGTATATTTTTCATTGTCTGTTGTACCAAAATATCCAGATTAGTATGTAAGCCTTAGTAATCTAATTGTCATAATATTTAACACATTAAATGCTAATTAGAATACAGGTGTTTGCTTTGAAAAAATGTTTACTTGCATTTATTCAAATAGCTGTGTAGCTCTACATGTTAATTAAAAATAATACTTAATGGAATGGAATATTTTTTTGTGGATGGTGAATTTATTTTTTGTTTCTGTTTGTGTGTGTTTGCTTGTTTAAAATTACATCAATATTAAAAGGAAGAATAGAAGAAACTAAAGACTAGCTATTTTGCACAATCTACTGAATGTGTGTTGTGTTTTCTATGAAGCCACAGAATAAAATATATGTAAACATCTACATATATAATTAGTTTATTCTAAAACATTAACTCATCATTTTAAGATAACTTATATTACTGTTCCTTCAGAGCAGAATAACAGAAATTTTCATGTATACTAAAACAATTTCAAAAGTATCAGATGAAGATTGCACTTTTACATCTTATTTATTAACTTTTAGGCTGTTCAAGCCAAAGGTTTTTATATTCCGGAGCCAATGGCTTGAACAGCCTAAAGGTTAATAAATAAGGTAATGGCTTAAACAATTTAGAGTAATGAATTTTTTCTGATGATTGATATATGGAATATAGTTTGATTCTAGGATTTTTCATTCCTATATTTTAACCATCTGTATCAATTAAAATTTTTGAAAAGATACTGTCTTTATTCACCAATACAGTTCTGTTAGAAAGGCAGGAAGAGGTAAGTTTCTTATATTGAACAAATGAAACAAAAGCTTTGCGCTATTAAAAGTCTGTAAAACCAATCTTACATGTTTTTATTAAAATTTTTGTTTTAGCCACATCTTTTTTGTTTGACATTTCTGCTACAATTTATGTTGAGTGACCCCCAAAGCAAAATTTTAAAAAAGGAAACAAAATATTTTTGGGGGGTTATTGGCAGGAAGCCACATGGG